AGATTCTTCAAGATCAAATATAGCTGGGGTTCGATGTATTCTATTATATCGTAAACCAGCGTTGAGTAATATTTTACGTTGGAACAACAGATGTTTGTTCAGTTATAAAAATGCATTAATGAATAGATGAAGTTTTGGATATATTTAGAACATATTTGACATGATTGATGTAGAGGTATAGATGATACTCTAAATCTTGGCCAGAAACCCTAACTTGGTCTATAAATTATTCCTATGCTCACTTTCTTCTTTAATATCCGCTCAAACCCTTCATAACCTTTCAAATATATTGAATTATACTCTCTGCATTATTCTTCCGCAGTTCTTTATTATTTTAACAAAATATCTATATTTTAAAATAAAATCTCTCTTTCGTGCTTTTGCATAAATTATTAATTTCACTTCTCTCCCCCCCATAGTCCAACATCCGATGATTTTAAAAACAAAACCCATAAATCATAATAATATACAATGAATGCCAAAAAACATGAGGAATGGAATTTTTCTATTTACATAAAATACGTGTAAATTCAACTATTCCTCGATGCAAAAATGTCAATGTCCGATTTACAACGATTCCCTCAAAAGCTTTGTCTGATCAAGTATGAATTAGATATTGATGTTTATGATTTTTAAAATTTTATATTTTCTAGTGTGGCTTCTTGGTCATTTCTACTGAAGTAAAACAAACATATAGGAATTATCAAAATTAACACTTTTTTCCCTAAAATAACAAGATATTCCACATTCAGAAAAAGTTTCCAAAGGTATCGGATATTTCATCCATCTTTGCAGGGAGGATCACTTGAAATTACGCCAACAGTCCCTTTAAGCATAACTGAGCTGAGAAATCTGTTTTTATTTCAAGTCCTGGCTTGACCTACCTTTAGTAACTAAGCATAATAAGAGTAGGCCTAAACCACTGATGTGTTTTCTCATTTTCATTTTGTTTTCACTTTATTTTATCACTCTTTAGCACATAATCTAATAATTATATTTCTAAGGGACTGTTCTCTTCTCCCTGCTGTGTTCACGATTATAAATGGTATATGTGTATATGAAGGGGAAACCAGCGTAACTGCTTGAATCCTAGTGGTTCACACACAAACAGACACTCACACATATACAGCTATACATTCTCCTTTGCACTTCCTTCCATCACAGAGGTGGGGGAGGGGGTTCGGGGGGGGGAGGGTTCTGTAGATTTGAACTAATATCAGAAAAACTAAATCGTTTCTTCTTTTTACTTACTATCAAACTCAAGAAATTAATATTTTGAGATCTACAGAACTTTGTTCCCCCTTAAACCTACCTGTATGCCTGGATTTCTCGCTATGCTGTAACCTGCATGTGAAATGGTTCTTCAACGGAACTATAGAAGCTAGAAGAAGGGGGGACAGGGGCTCATGTTGCCCTAGGCTAAATAGAAAGTAAAAGCTTTTTACAATTATACCTGGTTTTACACAAGATTCAATAATGTTCACAGGAATTCAGAATATCAGTCATTAAACTTCGTATTTACTATTTATATCATACGTTTCATGGAATATATCGAATAACATAATTTTTACCTTTCGCCATTGCATTAAACTTTTTAGGATAAAGAAAATATATCATTTATATGAGATTGATTTAGATATTGATCAATATATGCAGCTTTTTGAGAAATTGGGTAAAAAAGTATCGGAGTCAGAGTCGGACCGCAATACGACCACAAAAGAATTGTAGAGGTTATTTTTTCATTAATGGATTTACAAAGGTTCCCTTGAAAGCATTGCCTGATCAAGCATGAATTATAAATACCATGTGTTTAAATTTGATACCTGATTATTTTAAATTGTGGTTTCTTAAAAAGTGACTTGTGCATTTCTGTTGCAGGAAAACCATGTAGGATTTATCAGGATTGAAACTTAGAATAACGATGTTATCTTTCATTATTGATCAGATAAAGGGTTCAAAGGTACCTAAGTAAATCGGACATTCCACTCTAGAGACGGAGGGTCGCTTGATATTACACAAAATTACTCCTTCATTTCCTTCACACAGTGAATAGATAATATATGATCGATGACAATTTCCATCCTATTATTTTAAAAGGTTGCCAATGGTGGATTGTACCCCTCCCCCCCCTCCCCCTTGTTTTCAGATCGAGACTTTGAACTTAAGTAAACCGTAAGTATTGTAAGAAACCCTGGCAATTTCTCAATTTAGAATGATTGGCAGAAAATACTGGACACTTGAAATCTGAATCTGGTTTAGTTAACGATGCATGTGGACATTGCAGACCAAGGATTCCTTGTTTTAATTAGTTCTTTTTTATGTTTTCATATCCATCTACTATTATTTAAGTATTCATACAGTGATAACCAGAAAACAATGGAATAGGAAGACAACATTATTGCAATCTTTAAAACATCTTATCAGCATCTTTTAAAGCATAATATAGTAAAAATCTCTAAAATTATGGCAATTTAAAAAACATGCATTTTGTATTTTGAAAAATGAAAATCTTTGTTTGAAGATTCCAGAAATATTAATCAAATTTACGTTTTAAATCAACATAATAAATATATATTGAGAAAATAACCAAAAATATTTTTAATTACTGAATGTCTCAAACAAAAAAAGGAGTAATGGCTTTTTTATGATAAACATAAAGCTGGTTTATAACTCACGAAATGAGTTTTTCTTTAATAATATCGGAAAGTGGAGAAAAAACTTTAATAGATAGTTCATAAAACATGAAAGATGAAAGATGAAATACAAAACATTAAAACTGTTTAAATTTGACAACTTCTAATTTCTTATATAAAAATATTGTCAGAAATTTATTCAATACCATGTCGTAATGCATTCTAAATTAATTGTTCATATGATTGGTTGCATCTTACAAACATTAAACTTCTGAATGTAAAGTATGCTAATTCTCTTAATCTAGTCAGAACTAATTCTTGCACTAAGGACCAGAAAACTGCATGGAATAGGAAGGCGACATCAAAATAATGATTAATTGTATTTCATGTTTTTACTTAAAAGTCTTACTTTACACTTTACCAGACAAATGGGTCATGTTACACTTCACAATGGCTATTTGTCATACTCATTTGACTTTTTAAATTGTAATTGGATTCCAAAAGTCGGCTTCGTTCATCACAGATTTCTGGTCTCTGACGTTATATAATCCTACTAGGGTGTATATCTTTGTATGTAAATAAATCTTTGTTATAATAATAATAGTATATAAAGTCTCTCAAGGTTTACATGCACCTCTACCAAGGAGGTGTGAAGTTACGTGCATAGTTCTATAAGTTTTCTTAAATTAAAACTGTTAGGCATTTTACTCTATAACTAAATATTTCAAAATCGGCAAACTCCTTGTCGATTTCTGGGTATTTTTTTAGTGTGAGTGATTTAGATTCTTCTCCCTTTTATATAAAATCTGTCCTGTGACTAGTAATCATCAATGTCGTCTATTTGTGCATAATTTTGAATATTTTTCTTTTTTCTTTTGTAAAACTATATATTGAAAATATTTAAACAAATTTAAACTACACCATTTAAATATGTATGTTTATCTTGGTGTGGGAATAAATCTTTATAATAATAATAATAAAAAGTCTCTCGAGGTTTACATGCACCTCTATCAATGAGGTTAAACTTGAAACTACGTGCATAGTTCCTTATAAATCGAATTTATATATTTTAAAAGCTGTTAGTCATCAAATTATGATCAAAGATGAAAATCATTTCGCATTTGAAGGATTTTTAGGGCGATTAAATGAAAAAGATCTTTTGAAAATCTAAATATGTTTTTCTGTCTGTTTGAGGGTGTTTGGGCTGACTAGAAAAAAAAAACATAAGACGACATTAATTTGCGCACTCTGATCCTCAACCCACCGGACCGATTGTTAGGCTCAAGCTCCTCAAGCACTCAAATTCTAAATTTAAGTAGTCCAATTAATATGAAATTCACAGCAATGCAATTATGCAATGTTCATGGACACATTTCACTTAATAACTGATGAAACTTATAACATTTCAACAACATCAAATAAACTCTAATTAAATTGCCTGAATTTCGTCTTCCTACTCCATATTTTTATGGTTCTCACGGTAAAATTCCTCATTAGTGTAAAGATCGAAATTTTTTATTTTGATTAATAAATTGTAATTTATAACTTTTGTAATGTTTTGAATCGAAGTTTACCTCAAATGACATCTCTAAAATTTTATTTCAAAAAGTCGTCTTGTTTAACCTTTACTTTAAAATCTTGATAAATGATTAGATAAAATATGTTCGACAAAATTCCGGTCGAATTTTGGAAAATTTAAAAAATAACCAAGATTTTTAGTCTCTAATAAATATCTGTACAGGGTTACCCACAAAGGATGAGTCTTCAGAGACGACTGTAGAATTGTTTCTTAGCATTGATTCCTTGCTAATTAAAAGTTGTTTCTTTTTTTGCCTAACCATTAAGAAAATCATTTGCAGGCATATTTTAGCTAAGAGACCAAATACAACTATCGGATCACATTAATTTCTCATATTTTGAGGGTAATCCTATATCTATATATATTCACTAGAAATCAACTTAACATGTCGATTTTGAAATATCCTATATTTCTCTATTCAAATATTTCTTGTATCTACTAAAATTTATTCAATATTATAATCTTTACGTAATGTTAAATTTGAAAAAGAAAATGATATTTGGCCGAATGTAAAAGGTACAAGCCTAAATGTCTATATGTACATATGCATAGAATCAGATAAGTAAAATAATACAATAGTACAAATTTACACAAATTTTACATTTTTGAGCCAGTTTCCATTTGTAAAACACATATTTTGTCTTTTAACATTTGATATATATATTTTAGCTTTTATCATCTGTTTTATTACCCTTTGTACTGTTTAACATGGAGGTTAAAACTCCAGCTAAGTCGGGAAACATTGCACCAGATGTGTTGTTCACAGCTGAGCTTGTCGTATTCGGTTCAAACAGATCCAAGCCTGGCTTGGCTAAAGTATAATTTTTCGAATCTTCTTCCTCTGTACTGTTCCAAGTTGAATTCAAGACATTTGGTTTTATTCCTTTCCTGGATAGAGGCTCACTGTCAAAAGGTCTAAAAATCACAAAACAATTTAAATGGAGAATTTAAAAGCTGAAAACGAAATTAAATGAATAAAACATTCCCTTATTCAATTCTAAAACAAAGAAAAGTCCAGACGTTGAAATAAAACAGAGCCGGGAACTTTTGAATGGTGGATATCGGAATTAATGCTTGATCCACTCTTTTTCTTAATATCGAGCTTAAATAATGCTTGTTCTCCTCTTGTTATTAATCTCCAGATTAATTAACCGATCGGGATTAAGGACATCCCATTCTTAAGTTTTCAGCTCAGAACTCATTCAGTTTTAAAGTTTGTTCTAAATAAATAGGAATGAACAAAAACGTCATTTAGAAGTCTCATCTGCCTGTACCTGCACTCAGCGTCCAAGCTGCAGAGAAGGAATGACCAGCCTGTCATAAAGCAGAAAAGAAAGATGAAGAAGAAGATTCGAGAAATTAGTTGTCATTGTCCTGACTCCTCATCCTGCCATATAAACAAAAGTTACTATAGTTTTATTAGCGTTGCATGTCCAATTCACCTATGATACCTTTAACCTCTATTGCAATAACAATTTTAAATTCTGACAATTTCCTTCATTTCCTTTGCAGCATAAAGTCAATTTTGTAGAAAACCCGAAAATAAGAATAATCGTTTCTACAAAGTACATCTCATTTATCCTTAAACAGTGAAAGGTTTGAAGCAAAGAGAATAGAATATATAATAGAGGGGAATTTATTAGAAAAAAGTTTAAAACGGCGATTTTGTAGTACTATTTCCATACTGCAGGTGTACTTCACATATTTATGCTATATAACCTTTTGGGCCCTGAAATATCATTTTATCAAAATCTAAAATAAAATTGATGTTAAAAGAAACCCAAATTATGAAATAGGCTGGTTTTATCATTGACCAATGATCATTTCACATAGACTCTATTTCACTTTACAAACGATGATTTTCCATTTTAACTATAATTCAAATGATGTTTTTTGTTCACCTAATTCGTTATAAAGTTTATTTAACAGCTTTAAAAAATTCGAAATTGAAATGACATACTGTATTAATGTACTCTACTGCATATAATTTGTGAACATTTACATGATTTGTACACTTTGAACTTCATTTCAGGCTGAAAGGAACTGAAAATATTCATAACGAGAGATTCTCTAAATTTCCCTCTAATATATATTCTATTCTCTATGGTTAGAAGAGATCCATTGTGCATCGAACATACCACTTTATAAATGGAGGGTTACTTAAACCAAATCTACAGTTTCTTTGCAAGGGATTTCTGAATGAGAATATGAAATTTGTGGCGAAGCTGCTCTGCCTTATACTCAAGAATTAGTTTTGGTAATTATTGGATTTCCTTGTCTAATAATATTTACCTAAATACCAGAAAGCTTTTCTTCAAAACAGGAGAAAATATAATTCTTTTTCCTGTTTTTCGCCATTTTTTATAATTAAGCTTTGTTATGCTTACCTGAGTATTTGATCGGTGGATCGACGTGGACGTGCTGGAAGATTTTCTAAAAATTGAATTTATTGTTATTTTGGTCAGAACTGATTCTTAAAATCATGAGCACTTTTTCTTCATTTTTTAAATTGACTAATAATTTTGTTTTAAGATTATATTATTTGAATTCCTTCTCATTTACAAATACTTTTTTTATTTTAATATTTCAAGAAAGGATATAGTTTTTACCCATGCATAACCTGCACGAGGGCTATGGGAGGTTTTCGGCGAGTTGGAAATTAAAATAATGTTTTTAAATTTTCAAACATCTGCCACTGAAGAAGTGAAAGGAATTGATTAGCAACAAACTTACATTTTCTAACCCCTATATCTTTGCAACCTGATGGTGCAGATCTTTGATATTTCAAACTTAGACTATTTGATCTACCAGAATTAATAGTTTGAAATTTCAAAGGTCTAGGAAAACGGTTGCTAAGTTATAGAAATTAGGAAATCTGAGTTTGTGGCAAAAACTCAATTCCTTTGGTTAAGTTCCGATGTTTTGGAGCCAGAAACAAGGAAAACATATTGTATGAACCTGAAAGATGGGTGCTGGGATTGTCTCTTACTAGTTCCACTATGGTTGAAGCGGGTTTGAGCTGCTGGAGTTAATCTGGGAGTCCTTGGTGAGGTTAATCTACTCCCACCATCAGTACTCTCTCTTTGAACATTTTTATTTAAAATTAAAAAAATATGATTCCATTTGGAAAAAGAAAGTACATTGTAATTCTTGGTTTTATACTAATTTTGTACATAAAACCTGATATGTATATAGGATAAATTTTATTAGCGCCCCCTGGTCAGGAAACTTTATTTTAACGTTTTAATTTGATGCAACAAGAGGCAATGTTAACTTGAATCTGCATGCTGAAGAAAGCCACTTGAAAAAAAAACCCCAAGAAGCTGAGTTCTTGTCACATACTTAAATCCATTAATCCTTTTGGAAGTTGCAAACTGATGGCGTAAACCTTTGAGTATTTCATATATGAGTATTTCATAAAATTTGATCTAACAGAATTCATAATTTGTAATTATATATTTAAAATCTAAAAAAAAAATAGAGATTGTGGGAATATTTCTCCCCAATTCTAAAAAAGGGAGCAGAAAAATTACATTTAAAACTTGTTTTTGGTGAATTGCTAGTTTTTTTTGACGATGAAATTACAAATTGTTAAAAGATTAAATCAAAAGGGAAAAAAAGTTTTTAGACATATGAAGCATTAAGTTCTTTAACTCTTTTAAATGTCTTAATGTGGTGGGGGTGCCGTTGTGAATCGAGCTGGAAACTCTTTAAATAAAGTGTTATTTGAAATTACATCTGCCGTCCCCTTTCCGATTTTGATCAACATCTAAAATTTAAATAAAATCATACTGTGGTATGCTAGCTGCGATTATCAATACAATGAAGACGACTTTTTGATTGTTAACAAGCTTGTTTTGAATTGCAAGTTTACAAGTGATTAAAGAAAAGCTTTTTAAATTAACAGCTTCTCTTGAATTCTATATTTATGTGTATCCAGCTTGAAATAAATCAAAATTGAAATCGAAAGTCGTCTTTATTGTATTGATATAATCGCCTACCACTTTATAAAAGCGTACCTTGGACTGCGTAGTAGTTCTGCTGTGTCGTCCATCTGTATTCTTACATCACATTTACGATGGTTTAAAATTACCCTCTTCCTATTTACCCTAAAATAATGTCCTTAAAATATGTCCTTAAAATCATATATTTTCCACCTCATTTGCACTTAAATTCTTAAAGAAATGTTTAGCTATCCTGTAGTGTGTCCTACAGTGGTCGGCGTTCATATCAATACAAGTAAGACGACTTTTATACTGAAGTTTTTTTTTAACAAGCTTTTTTAAAATTACAAGTTTAAATATAAAGAAAGAGAAGCTTTGTTCTTTGTTTTCATTCCATCTTTATATGTTATAATCATGCTGTTTAAATGCTTTAAGAAATAAAAATCAAAATTGAAAGTCGTCTTCATTGAATTCATAGATACGAAGACGACTGTATTTACAAATTATCTGTTCTAGAAAGTTTGTTTTAGAAAGTCTGTCCTAGAAATTTGTTAATACAATTATCCGTTGAAACATTTTCCATCAAATCATTTGCCTTCAAATTCTTTGTCCTGGAAATATTTTGTCCTCAAAATAATTTGTCCTAGAAATGCTTTGTCCTCTCCAAATTATTTTTTCTTGAACTATTTTCTTTCAATAAGAAGCATGAAATGCCATAATTAGATCTATAAGAGATATAAAACTGCAAAACTGCAATAGAGTAAAATGGCAAAAAGAATGTTTTCCCAAATCTGGCATTTATGTGAATTTCTCAATTCCTTTTTCATTTGACATTCATATTTACAAAATCCATAATTCGTGACAGATGTATGAGTGGATCGAAAATTTTAAATTAAAAATAAAAGAATTATCTATATCGCGTAAGCCCATATCGTCATAGCTCTGAAATGCTCAAATAAACGGATGCTTCAAGATATGTGCTAAAATTAAGTAAATAAATGTATTGCCTCGTACATATAAAAAAAAATGTAAAAAAGAGAGTGTTCGCGTAATTTTGAGCTATCTGCCATTTAAAGAGGTGAATTCCCGATTCACAACTGTACCCTTTAAACTTTTCCTTGTTTATTTACTACAGAAACTCTTGTAATTTCTTTTAAATTTGTTTTCAAGCTGTTTTCAAATTGTTTTATATTTAAGTAATATTTAAATTTACTTTTTAAAATTCGCCAAAAATAAATATTCGGTACTTTATCAGGGTACAATTATCGTCAGCTGAGTTGAGTTAAAACTGTACGCATGCGTACAATTTACGGAAATCCAAATATTTGAAAAATATTTGTTCTCAACAGTCAAGGGTCTAAAGCGTAAATCGGACATTGCCATCTTTTCTCGGAGGGTCGCTTAAAATCACGCTTACAGTCCCTTTAAAGACCTGGGTTGTGACTGTCGTCTGTCTTCCTTCCTCTGTGATTCCAAATTCCCCTCTGTAATCCGGAGAAAAGGAGAACCTTCTCCACAACTCTCTTCACCTTCTCCTTGATATACATCCTTCTCCTCTCCTTTTCCCAGAAACATATCCATTCTTTCCACACCTTGATGTTGTTGTGGATGTTGGCTGAGCCTGGTCAGATTATCCATCTCAAACATCTCAAACACCTCGGACTTAACAAAAAGTGTTTAAATATTTGTTCATTTTAATTTTGTTTCTATCCTTTACACAATCTGATATTACCAGTGATGTGTTGGTTCGTTTTCGGTTCGTTTTTGGTTTGTTTTCGGTTTGTTTTTGGTTCGCTTTTGGTTCGTTTTTAGTTCGTTTTTGGTTCGTTTTCGGTTCGCTTTTGATTCGTTTTTGGGTTGTTTTCGCTTTGTTTTTGTTTCGTTTTTGGTTAGTTTTTAGTTCGTTTTTGTTTGTTTTTTCGGTTCGTTTTCGGTTTGCTTTTGGTTCGTTTTCGGTTAGTTTTCGGTTCGCTTTTGGTTCTTTTTGGTTTGTTTTCGGCCCGCTTTTGGTTTACATTTTCTTTCCAGGACAATTTGGCATAAAGTACGAAAAAATTGTTTTTAAATTGTTTATTTCAATATTTTCTTAAAGCATGTCAAATTTTGACCCAGAAAGAAAATATATGCAAAAAAGCGCCAAAAACTAACGTTTTTGAAAAAAGTAAACCTTAACAAAATAAAATTTTTAAATTTTGGAAGTTTTATCAAAAGTATTAAAAACATGGATCGAAATGAATAACAACACGAGATACTACCCCTATCCATACTTGATACTACCTATATATATATATATATATATACCTGATAATGCAGAGTATTCCTTTAACATGAGGTTTAATTGACGTCTTTGAGGTTTTTTATTAAGATAATAATTGATTTTGAAGGCACTAATAACACTATTTACTTTGTAACAACATCAAATAAACTTTAAATATAGATTTAATGTCGCCGAATTCTATACCTTTCTATATCTCGAAATCGTCAATCAATTCGCATGTTTATTGATACACCTTGTACCTACCTGATGTTTTCCTCCTGTATCAAGATGTTTTATTTTTATTTAGACACCCTGTACCTACACCCCTACCTGATGTTTTCCTCCTGTATCAAGGTGTTTACTTTTTATTTGGACACCCTGGACCTACCCCTACCTGATGTTTTCCTTCTGTATCAAGATGCTTTATTTTTATTTAGACCCCCTGTACCTACACCCCTACCTGATGTTGTCCTCCTGTATCAAGATGTTTACTTTTTATTTGGACACCCTGTACCTACCCCTACCTGATGTTTTCCTCCTGTATCAAGATGTTTTCTTTTTTATTTGGACACCCTGTACCTACCCCCTACCTGATGTTTTCCTCCTGTATCAAGATGTTCCTTGATCTTGTTCAGTAATCCCTCAATAGTTGAGAAATGTTCTGTCTCCGTTATCTCCTAAATATTCATTTTAAATTAAAATCTCCTGAAATTTTTTAATTAAAATGTCTGTATTCTAATTTAAATTGAATATTGTTTTGTAATTTGTGGAATCAGAGTTGTTATTCGGTTTTATGATGTTGATGTTTTCCTGTAAAAAATTATGTGTTTTTCAACAAGAGTAGCTACAGCTAGAAATGTCCGGCCTATTTTGAAGACGACATTTACGTGCATTAAATACCAAAATGTTTTACCAATCCATTAGGTAAAATAGGCCTATGTTAATCACTGCCCAAAAGCTGGGTTTAATATTCATTAAAATAGTTTAAAATTGAGTCGTCTTTCTAGTTCTACTTCATTGTTTTTTTAGTTCTCACTGTATATCAAAGTTTTATAGAATTTTACTTTGTTTCAAATTTTCCATTGAAAAATCATTTTAGTTCAGCATAGAAATAAAAGAAATGAACCCCAAACTACCCAGAGCTGAATTTGCTATCGTCTCCCAAAACCCAGCAAACACGGAGTAAAGAACCTTTAATTATACATGCTTTGATTTTCAAAATACAAAAATACGAATTAGATAGACTAACAATTTTATTTCAAGGATTAAAACAGGATTGAAAGTGAAGCTTAATTGACCGTTATCAAAGATATTAGATACTTTCCCAAATGGCAACTTCCCAAGGGTATTTTCCCAGGTGGTAACTTCAAAAATGTGCGATTTCCCAATCGTTAACTTTTAAAGTCTGTCCAAGCCGCAGCACCCGGCCCCCGTTGCAGCCCGCGGCGCAGCAGAGGGCCTAACCTAACCTTTGGGAAGGTAGTTGCTTGGGAAATTGCAAAATTTGGGAAGTTACCACTTGAGAAATTGTCACTTGGGAAAATGCCTTTGGGAAAGTATCACCTTATCCATTTATAGAAACAATTATGTTTAAAGTTTAATAAACCAAGAAAGAAGGGCACGAAGCGCCCTAAAAGCCAAGTTTATTTTGCTATGTATTGTTTATTTGCCCCTATTTATAGAAACAGTAAGGTTATATAACCTCCCCTGGGAGTGTTGAATTCTATTTAAAAGTTATAATATCCTTTCTTTTATTTTACAGTTTATTAGCAGGCTAATTCTTCCAACTCTGGACACTAATGGTATAAATTAAATTCATTTATACTAGTCAGTCTGTATACCAAAAATATATTTTGGTGTTTTTCTTTTTTTTTGTCCAATACATTTTTGGGAGAAACTAACATGATTCTAGAATTTCAAATTTTTATTATTTGAACTAGCAGAAGTAATAGTTTAAAATATTATTTGAACTATAGCAGAAGTAATAGTTTAAAATATTATTTGAACTATAGCAGAAGTAATAGTTTAAAATATTATTTGAACTAGCAGAAGTAATAGTTTGAAATATTATTTGAACTATATCAGAAGTAATAGTTTAAAATATTATTTGAGCTAGCAGAAGTAATACTTTAAAATATCTATGGTTTACAACATAAGGTTATAAAGAATAGGGATTAGAAAATCAGAGTTTGTAGCAGAAAAGCACAATTCCTTTAAACATTTTTACCTGGGCAAAATGTCGCCTTTTATTATTTTTGAAAATGCACTAATTTAAACAAAAAATTCTGCAATTTTTTTTGCTTATGAGTACAATGAAAAATGGCGAATTGAAAAGCCTAGTTTTCTAAATATTAAAAGTCATCGTAATAATAAATCTTTCTTATTATTGTGTAGAAATACTTTTTCTGTTTACTTTGCAACAAACTTCAAAAAGAATAATCAGTAAATTTGAATTCAGTGGTTTGAAAAGAAAATTCATGATCCATTAAACGTTTTTAACGTTTTTTAGTTTTTTTAATATTAGGAGGGAGAGAGAAAAAATTGAACCGTTGCCCCCCCCCCCCTTCTCCTGATTGCGCCCATGAACATAATACAACCTTTACACCAGCTGATGAATATTTTCGTGATTTAAACTTAATCTAATCCTTCTCCACTGCAGAGGTTTCAAGGAAGAGAGAATTAACAGAACTCAATATAATATTTGGATATATCCGGTTCATGGCCTTGTAACATTTACACATTCAACAATTTTACTATTAATACATAATAAAAATTTAGAATAGAAAGACGACATTTAAGCAAACTAATGTGCCTTTAAATGCTACTACAAAGCAAATAGTTTTAGCAGCAGATTAAAAATTATTAGGTATAATGGGTCTGTTCATTGAACTATTGAGTCCAACAGTCGTCTTCCTATTCCACAGTTTTATGGCTACCACTGTAGATAATACAATACCTCATTCATATTGTCAGTTGCGTGAATATGTTTACTTTCTCTGTTTGAACTTATAGTGCTGTTTCTATCAGTGCAGGAGCTCATTTTTTCTATACATGGGCTGTTTTTGTCTGTAGAGAAGCTGTTTCTATCCGTACAAGTGCTGTTTCCGTCTGTAAAAGCACTGTTTCTATCCGTGAATGTGCTGTTTCTATCCGAACTAGAATAGGAGCTCCCTCGCCCTCTTTTTCTTTCCTCACTTAATTCATTGAAGACGTATAAACATAATTTTCTAATCTGGAAACTTTTAAATGAGTCAAAATAGGATTTATAAGTTTACTAATAATCCATTGCGTACATATTTCTTTATGTTTTCAAAACCATCTTAATGCAAGTTGTTTGAGACTTTTCAAAAGAAACGTTTTGGAACGCATGATTTATATGATAAATCAAATAGATCTTTAATTATTTTATTTTTTTATAAGGTTTCGATAAATCAAAATTACAAGAATGAGCATTTTGATGAGAAAATGCAGAAAAAAATACAAAGTAATCAAAAAAAGGAAAGCCTAAAGTAAATTACGCGGCATATGGCCTTTTTTAAATATCCCCCTGTAATCTTTAATCTTTTATTGTCTTCTTCCTTAGATTAAAACAAGAGCAGGGAGTAGAACCTATTCCTAGTTCTGCAACTGGGTCACAGAAGTTTGGAACACTTTGAACCTTAACATTAACAAATTAATAGAACTTTTGGTTTAGGTGGAGCTGAGTTTATGGAAACAGGGGGCACCACCACCAACCCTCCCCCGTCTTGTCGTTCAATGGGTAAGACGTTAAAATGACACAATCTTTTTTAAAGAATTTGTGAAAAATTTAAGCACATTTCGCGCAACAATATTAATCACTCTTCCACTCCTCTAGAAAATATCATAAGCTGCTTCAGCAGGATTTTCTAGTCACCTTTCTTCGAGGTTTGATAGATTCTTCTTCCATATACCAGCTTGAAGTTGGAGTAGGGGTAGGAGTAGGACTAGATTCAATATTATCCTCTTTAACTAAACATAAAACATAAACCGGAGTGGGAGTTGGAGTAGAAGTAGGAGTAGGAGTAGGAGTAGGACTAGATTCAATATTATCCTCTTTAACTAAACATAAAACATAAACTGGAGTGGGATTAGGAGTAGAAGTAGGAGTAGGAGTAGGAGTAGGAGTAGGATTATGAGTAGGAGAAGGAGTTGGAGTAGGAGTAGGAGTAGGAGTAGGAGTAGGAGTAGGAGTAGGAGTAGGAATAGAAGAAGGAGAAGAAGTAGGAGTAGGAGTAGGAGTAGGAGTAGGAGTAGAAGTAGGAGAAGGTTCAAACTATAGTTTTGATGCATTCATTTCGGTTGGGGGGGGGGGGGGGGAGAAAAGTCTTCTTATACTTTTGCATTCAAACGTGTTTGATTTCTCATGGATATGGGATATAAGCCAGAAAATCAAGATGAATGCAGTTGACACCACTATTCATAAAGTAAAATTGGCGTGTGAAATTTTAAACCGATCAAAGACAAAGTAGCAGGGTACATTTTATAAGTGTTAAGCATTTAACAAAATCACAATTTTATGAGTTTCATAGCCTTTAAATGTCCCGAGGCCGAATTTATAGAATTTGAGCGGCGGCTTCGATTTAAGCCGTGGCTCAAATATGGTTGGTTTCACTTAAAATTGTATTTAATGCTTCAAGATTTAAGCCGGCGCTCAATTGAAACTGTTTTTTGGCGGATTTCAGACGCGGTTCAAATTTATTAAATTCGGACACTGTTCTAGCTTTCTCAAATTGATTATGGGATTTAAAAAGATGTAGTTGTGGAAAAAAATAATAACGTTGCAATTAGCAGAATGATTAACTCTAAAAATGCATGTAAACGGTATAAATATTGGAAAAAGAGAGGCGGTCAATAAAGTATATTACCTCTGTTAGTGGTATAAAGAGAGTTCACATTATTGATGTGAGGGCTCTGATTATTACCGTTCTGATCTGGATCAAGCATTCTTTCATTCTGGAATAAAAAGAAAAGTATGATTAAATTAAAATTATGGATCGAACACGAAATGCTTTAAAACTGAAGCCCTAAAATTTAAAATCTTAGATTAGCTAAATATCTATTTTCATCCATTACCTACACATGCCAACTTTAACCTTTTTCTCTCATTTTCCTCTTAAGATAAGAATTTTTCATTTGTAGTTTAATTAAAACAAAATTTTAGAGAATATGGTTTTATAAAGTTATAAAACCCATCATTGGGATAGAATTTATTCCACAGTTGTAAGGTTTTCAATGGATGTTATTTTTAATTGAAAACTTTTAGACATAAAAGAGTTTAAAACCAAGAATACAAACTAGGTCTATTTTTCAAAATTTTATCTAGAGCTAGAAGTAACATTTTCTAAAATATTACTATACAGTGCTCCCCACAAAGGATGAGACTGCCGAGAAGATTGCTTCCTTGAATTCATGATTCCCTTCTTTAAGTCTTTGCTAAATCATTTAAAAGCTATAAAAATACTATATTAAGAGGACTGTAAGTGCAATTACAAATAACCCTCCATGCGGTGATGGCAGTGCCCGATTTACAACGGTACTCTTCAAATTAAATTCATAAAAACGACGTTATCTTCCACGTTTTGATCAGATTAAGGCTTCAAGGGTACTGTTGCCATCTTTGCATAAGGGTCAATTAGAATTATGCTTACAGTCCCTTTAAAGGCAGAAGACTTATATTAATCTTGAACTCGCCATATTGTAAGAGTTTTAGGCCGTCTTTACAGTTTCATCTTTTGTGAGTAACCCTGTAATTTAAAAAATGTATTGAATTAACTTAACTTTTGATAAACCATTCTAGACGTTTTCCAATAGTAATAGTTGTATCATTGTTTTATTTTTATTTTATCAGAGCTCAGTCATGCAAGAATTGAACTTATTTCTAAACTTTATTAATAAACAAAGGGTTTTTTCATTGGAATAGTTTCTGTGCAGGGCTACTAGTCTAAACAAGTTCTATTTAAAAACTTAAAGGGAGTGTTACCGAATAGAAGTGAAGTAACATTAGTAGCGATCAATATCGAACTCAATTTGAGATCAGTCCAAAAACCCCTTAATTTTTTTGTGAACACTCCCTTTAAATAATCCCTGGATTAGAAAGGTTTAATGCTTTTAAAAGTTAGATATTTATCAATGAAGAACAGGTCTATAGATTGTGTGCACTTAACAGCCCTGCAATATAAAAGCAGTGCCTAAGGGCCATTTTATAAGTTTAGCTTAATCACACACTAGGGGTCAAATAAATAAGGCTTTATATTGTTTTTAGGTATACAGGGTGGAGAAAACTGGAGATAAGGTATTAACAGATTGGATATTATAATGTAGGGAATAGTGCACAAAGAATTAAGAAGGTAAAGGTCTGGTAGAGAAGGTAAAGGTATGGTAGAGCAGGTAAAGGTATGGCAGAGAAGGTATGATGGGGGAGGTAGAGAAGGTATGAAAGGGAGGTAGAGAAGGTATGAAGCGGGAGGTAGAGAAGGTATGGTAGAGAAGGTATGTCTGTCTTGCCCTCGTTCCCCCTTTATGCAATAATTCAACTATCTTTACACTATGACTTCTTTGTTTCTAAAACCGTTTCTAGGCCCTTTCACCTGACTTTAATCTGCGATTTAATAGAATTTCTATCTTCCCTTTAGTAAAATTATTTTTTTCTCCTGTTTGCAAAACCTTCTAAATTTAATTAGAGAAATTTAAATTTGTTAAAATAAAAATTTCAAATTAAAACAGGGTCTATGCATAAAATATAGTATAAGAATTTGCCCCTTTTGTCACTTTTTTTATTTGCATTAGGTGGGACCTTCTCTCTCTCTCTCTCTCTCCATGGAGCATAATTAACTCAAATTAGCTTAAACTAATATGGTTACTTGAACAGTTAGGAAGCAAGTACGGGGTGTCCCACGAAACATGACAGTTGGTAAATAGTATTGAAAATCTTCTTCGATATACTATAAAAGATATTAAAGACATTTTGCAGTTTATTTTGATAAAAAAAATCTTTTCCTGAAATATATTTTACTTTTAAATCAATTTTACTATAATATGACAGCCATGTGATGATTTTATTATTCTGTTTGGCATCAAAGAACTGTATAAATTATCGAAGAAGACATTTAAAACTATTCACCAACTGTCATGTTTTGTCGGACACCCTGCAGTTTCCTATAGTTCTCAGAATTTAAAAGTTCAATCTAGAAACCGTATTTATTGATTTAGGAATAAAGGATTACATCATCTATTAGATATTCTACCCCCCTTTCATTATGCATAAAGGATTCATCAGTCTATTTTATTAAAAGCAATAGAATCTCTTTTCCTTAAAGTAATACAGGATCCTATCTTCCTATTGATTTGGTAATAAAGGATTCTATCTTCCTAATGATTTAGTAAGCTAGGATTCTATCTTCCTATTGATTTGGTAATAAAGGATTCTATCTTCCTAATGATTTAGTAATATAGGATTCTATCTTCCTATTGATTTAGTAAAAAAGGATTCTAACTTCCTATTGATTTAGTAATAAAGGATTCTATCTTCCTATTGATTTATTAATAAAGGACTCTATCTTCCTATTGATTTGGTAATATCTTCCTATTGATTTAGTGATAAAGGATTCTAACTTCCTATTGATTTAGTAATAAAGGAGTCTATCTTCCTATTGATTTAGTAATAAAGGATTCTATCTTCCTATTGATATAGTAATAAAGGATTCTATCTTCCTATTGATTTAGTAATAAAGGATTCTATCTTCCTATTGATTTAGTAATAAAGGATTCTATCTTCATATTGATTTACTAATAAAGGATTCTATCTTTCTATTGATTAGGAAATAAAGGATTCTATCTTCCTATTGATTAGGTAATAAAGGATTCTATCTTCCTATTGATTAGGTAATAAAGGATTCTATCTTCCTATTGATTTAGTAATAAAGGATTCTAACTTTCTTTGTTGATTCCTAATTCTAAGTCTTGAAACTAGAAAGAATCAGACAGACAAAAAAAAAGTTGGTTTAAAAGTTGTGAAGAAATTAAAAGTTAAGTTATTCTATATCCTTTCCAACTCTTCATAGGGGATCTTCCGTACTTTTGATTTCTTCTGTTTTTTTAATATAGCGAACGTTATTTTATTCTTATTACATTTAAACCTGTTTTTGTCGAGAACCTTTCTTTAACCTTTCATTTAGACATTTTTTTCCAGATCCACTTTTTTAACACTACATATTTTTAGATAATTTCCTGAAGGAACTTTTTTTAACTGGTTCTCTCTTCACTCCTTCTACTGCTTTCGTTTACCTCTTGTACTGCTTCCCTTTACCCCTTTTCACTTCCCTCTACCCCTTTTACTGCTTCCCTTTACCCCTTTTACTGATTCCCTTTACCCCCTTTCCACTTCCCTTTACCCCTTTAACTGATTCCCTTTACCCCTTTTACTGATTTCCTTTACCCCTTTTACGCTTCCCTTTACCCCTTTTACTGATTCCCTTTACCCCTTTTACGCTTCCATTACCCATTTTACTGATTCCCTTTACCCCTTTTACTGATTCCCTTTACCCGTATTACTGATTCCCTTTACCCCTTTTACTGATTCCCTTTACCCCTTTTACTGATTCCCTTTACCCATTTTACTGATTCCCTTTACCCCTTTTACTGATTCCCTTTACCCCTTTTACTGATTCCCTTTACCCCTTTTACTGATTCCCTTTACCCCTTTTACGCTTCCATTTACCCATTTGACTGATTCCCTTTACCCCTTTTACTGATTCTTTACCCCTTTTACTGATTCCCTTTACCCCTTTTACTGATTCCCTTTACCCCTTTTACTGATTCCCTTTACCCCTTTTACGCTTCCATTTACCCATTTGACTGATTCCCTTTACCCCTTTTACTGATTCCCTTTACCCCTTTTACTGATTCCCTTTACCCCTTTTACTGATTCCCTTTACCCCTTTTACTGATTCCCTTTACCCCTTTTCAACTTCCCTTTACCCCTTTTACAGATTCCCTTTACCCCTTTTACTGATTCCCTTTACCCCTGTTCAACTTCCCTTTACCCCTTTTACTGATTCCCTTTACCCCTTCTACTGATTCTCTTTACCTATTTCAATCAACTTCTTTCCTTTACCCCTTTGTATGCTCCTCTTTACCCCTTACTGCTTCCATTTCACCTTTTTATTCCTTAAAGTCCTGTTAGCAGTTGCAAACTAGCTTTACAATCTGAACTCGACCTGAGCTAGTAACCCCTGCATAGTGAGTACCCTGTAAGCACTGTTACCGCTAGTCTGTGCATTGTCTTCTCCTACCCGCGTTGAGATCTCCATTAACCGGCATTTAGTATTCTCCGCCTCCCCACTGAGCGTGGAACTGTACAAAATTTCAGCTGATAAGAGAAAATCGTATGATTTTGTGTGAAGGAAAATCAAGGAGTCTTTGCAGACGGTACTCCATTTGTATAAGAAATATTCAGAATAGGTTTTTGTATACGCGGTAATTGTACATCAGACAAATATTTCTTATTCAAATGGAGTACCGTCTGCAAAGCATGTATTATAATTGAGTGAAATCCGAAATCGCTTATTACCGTATTCTAAAAAGGACAGGGGAAGTGTAATACAAAAATTCTATCTTGTTAAATACAAGCAAGCTTGTTAAATACAAGGCAAGCTTGTCAAATACATGGGGTCTTAAAGGCATGAAAAGGGGGAAAAATGATGTTATGGGGGCAATTCCCTTCAACCCCCCCCCCCTGTATACGCCCGTGGTTAAGTTAACAGCGAATGTGATCCAGAATGTGTATTTAACCCTTCAGCTATATTACAATTTGTATAATATTCTAACCGTGAGCCGAGGTTTCATAGTTTCAGACAAACCTGAGGTTTCTTGAGACAGATAATCGGTTTTTATATCTCTCCATGTCTGATTCTCCTCCCTCTACCCTTCAACCTCTACCAGGCAGACATCATTAACTATATAGATTTTAGTCAACCCTTCTCAAATTCACAATTCAAACAAGGGAATTTAGTGACCCTGTTGTTATAAAGGGATTCAAGATTTGAAAAAAAAGTAAAAGTAAAAAAGATATTATAATGATTAAAATGGTTTTATATCGTTCATCGACCTTTTTGAATAAACGGCCATATTTGTTGACAGTCTCTGTTATTTATATTCTATTTTAGAAGAAGGTCAGACAATATATTTTTTTTTATTAAAAAAATCTAAAAATTTGCGTTATGGAACTTTAACAGAATATTTACATTTCATGGTTGAAAAAGGGGTTGAAAGTGAATGGACAATAATGAATATCTCAAACTTTTAAAGGTACCAATGTAAATTCACATAAAATTTCGTCTACAATCCCTTTAACCCCATCGATTTTCAAGCAGAGTTGAATACCCTTATCGTGAGTGTAGGGCGGAATAACCTTTTCTCGAAACCATAATTACGTGCAAACTGTTTTCAGAACTTAAAATTAAATTTTTCCCATTATTCCGTTGCTCCTTACCCAATTTTTTCTACTTTTGTACAAATTTTAATCATTTTTATCAAATAACGTTTAGTCTCATTGCAAATAAGACTATACGTTGTCTAACAAAACAAACCAAATTGTCCAGTTTTTCCCATAAAAAAATTAGAACTGAAAATTTCGGAAAATCAGCCAAAAAGAGTTTTATTAATAAATTCAAAAATGTTCGAAGACAAAGGAATGATAACAATGAAAGAATGGATTAAAGGAATTGAATCTTTGCCACAAAGACAAATTTTCGAATCCTAATATCTTTGCAACTAGATGCTTTAAACCTTAAATATTTCTAACTTAGATTATTTGCTCTACCAGAATTCATAATTTGAAATATCAAAGGTCTTAACCATTGGGTTGCTAAGATACAGGGATTATAAAGTTTGAGTTTGTGGCAAAATCTCAATTCCTTTCCAGTGAAACTAACTTTAAATTTAATTAAATTCAGGTTTTAATATTTATTATTAAAATTAAAATGTATCATATAAGAAAATAAAAATTTCATAAATATAAATAACTTTAGAATCCAGCTTTCATTAACTTTTTGGAATTTTTTATCAATTTAAAGAGATATTTAACGCTTAGGAATCTTTATAAACCTAAACCAACATTATATTTGAAATGCTATTATTTATGATGAAATATGCCTTTAATTGTGTTTTGTCAATGACATGTGTACAACGAATAATTTGACGGTTAAGGGGAGAACAAGAACCAAACTGGAGCACGTTCTTTTTGAAGATATTTTTATACATAACCTTGATATTCTAATCCTCACCCGTTTAATTTTATTCAGTGGTACCCACAAAGAATAGACAGTACAGAATTTGTTCAGTCTCTATTCTTACATTGTTAGTAATCAGCAACGTCATACTGCATTCCTTTCTTTACTCAAGTAGAATCTGTAAGTGTACAGTTTATAAAAGTTATCCCACATTATATATTGGATATTGCATCTGGGTCGAAATTTTATTTTGAATCAAAACAGAACATTTCTTAGAAAATTTTGAAAATTTTTAAGAACATTTTAAGGCCAAAAAATGTGTGCAAGTACATATAAATGATTCTTTGAGTTTTCTGCTCCAGTATTTTGTCTGATGACACTGAACACTTTCCCCAGACTCTAAATTATAAATCCCTATATCTTTGCACCCTAATGGTGCAAGCCTTTAATATTTCAAACTTTAAACACTAGGTTCATAAAGCTTGAAATAACAAAATTCTACGACATTAGATTCCAAAGATATAAAAATAAGAAAATTATAGTTTGTGGCCTGTGTTCACTGTACAGTTATTTTGTTGCATTTTTATGATTTCTCGATTCAGAAATACCTTGCGAGAGATCAGCAATATCGTACATTAAAAGGGTAAATATAATTCTAAATAATTATTTGAGATTTGTAAATATATTAGTGAATGCACCTTTTACAGGGGGCCCCCTCCCTATATACACCCCTATGGAATATAATTGCAATGCAATTAGGTTTTTGTTCGTGCAGATTTTCTACCAAGTAATAAAACTAAAGAACACGGAAATGAATATTGATTTTTTTAACGAAACTGATGAAAATCCCAGGCTCAGCCACATAAATAGCAAATAAAATTTTATTACTTTTCAACCAGTTTCTTTTCAGAGTTTGTCGACATTCAACCTTAAACACATTATCTGTACTCTAGGTAGGAAAAATAGATCTAAAGCAAACGTTTTGAAAAGATTTACCTTGGTTATAATTAACCCATTGCAGAATATCATAAATTGTTCATGAGGTACCATTGCTGAAATGCATCTTAAAGACATATATGCATTACATACAATATAACCCTCTTTAGATAAAGATTAACTATAAAATTGCGACTTTAAACCTCTCTAAAACAGTTAATTTCATTTGAATGCAAATAATATTGTATATAATGTAGTTGCAGTAATCTATCTTGGAGTTCTTCTGCATGAGCACTCTCCTTCCTTCTCCCCTATAAGCCGGCATCCAAGAAAATTTACCAAATCTCAGAAATCCGCCAAAGGCCGCGGGAAGTTTAAACCGGTATGTATAATGTGCTTTCAGAATTTAATCTTTATGCCACTAATAACTTGTCTCAATGTGCGTCCTCGTTGTGCGTCCACCTTGTACTACTGGCTCACTGTGCTCTAAAAATATCCCAATCAAATCTACAAAATAAGATTGGGGGTATATCCCTCTTAACTTCCAAATCTCTTACAATGACTCTAAGCGTAATTTTAATCGGCCCTCCATGCAAAGATGGCAATGCCCGATGCAAAACGAATTTGTTTATATACTTTAGAAAACTGATTATTTTCAATTGTAATTTTTGTACTAAAGTGACTTACGGGATGCAGAATTCAGAAAAACATATCATAATTATGAGAATTACACACTTTAAAGCATTAAAAAAAAATTTTTGATCAAGTATAAAGGTTTCTAGACTAGCGTTGTGAATCGGACCCTGCCATTTTTGCATGGAGGGTCACTTGAAATTACGCGTACAGTCCCTTTAATCTTGATTGAACAATTCATCTGATTTGATTTTATATTATTTATATTCTGTCAGCTATACAATAGTGAAGTGAGTGCATCAGATCTAAAATATTGATAACACTGTGCGGTAGAAAAAACATAACATTTTGTTCGTAATATTAAACTTCCGATAGCATTTCAAACATTTTGTTAAAAATCATGAACAAAAGAATATTAGGAGTATTTCGCAGGGTTGTTATATCTTGTTGCTTTAGTAATTTCGAACATTTTGCTAAAAATAATGAACCAAAAAATATTAGGAGTATTTCGCAAGGTTGTTATATCTTGTTGCTCTTTAGTAATTTCGAACATTTTGTTAAAAATAATGAACCAAAGATTGTTAGGAGTATTTCGCATGGTTGTTCTTTGCTGCTCTTTAGTAATTTTGAACAAAATGTACGTAATTTCCAATTCCTTTCGAGAAGTTCAATAGTCTAAAGAAAGTGCTAGGGAGTATTTTGACAATGCCTTTTTTAAAACTTCTTTTCACTAAGCGAAGAAAAAACTATTAAACTATACCTTAGATTATCAAAAATTGTTATTTTTGCTTACCCAACTTCACAGAGATCCAGATAACTCTGAAAATGTCGAATCTTCTTTTAAGTGTTGCAACGGATTGTCTGTTGATTTTTCCTCACTAATATTCACTTATAATCTTTTGTATGTAAAGAACTTGTTTTTAGGTTCAATGATTAAGAAGTAATTGGCAAATTTCTCATAGATTTTTTGCATTAGAACTTGCAACCTTTGGGTCACTGTGAATTATTTAGAAGAACATGTGTTATACAACATGTTCAGCTCATTTTACAACATGTACAACTCACTTTACAACATGTACAACTCATTTTGCAACATGTACAACTCATTTTACAACATGTACAACTCATTTTATAACATGTACAACTCATTTTACAACATGTACAACTCTTTTTACAACATGTACAACTCACTGTACAACATGTACAACTCATTTTGCAACATGTACAACTCATTTTACAACATGTACAACTCTTTTTACAACATGTACAACTCATTGTACAACATGTACAACTCATTTTAAAGAGTGAAATATCCAATTCACAACGGTACACTTCAAAACCCTCTACCTGAGTAACAATGAAAACGATATTGTTAAAAAAGTGTTGGATCCTCACAGTCTTTTGCCGAGAAAGCACAAACCCACAAGTTACTTTTACAGACAAAGGTTTAAAGAGTATCGTTGTGAATCAATCCTGCCGCTTTACACATGGATGGTTAATTTGAAATTACGCCCAGAGTTACTTTAGAAATAGTTTTATTGATTTTTATCCAGGAAACCCAAGAAGATGCTTTACTTTTGGCTGAGTTTGGCCGAAGAAAGAAGAGAGTTCGAGAAACTTGTGAACATTTTGGAGCATATACAACCAAGTAAATTATTTCAATCCTTTCAAATTAAAATAAAAGGTTCATTATTTTCTCTCTTTTATCACCTCTGCCCTTCTTAATATTCTTGTTTATTAATCTAACGTTCAGATCGTCAGTTTTCAGTATCCTTTAAAACTTTAAAAAAGTAACTACAAATTATGGATAAATTATGCTCTTTATAGCCCTTGAGTAAACTGACCGTCTTTTAAATAGCATAATTTACTGGGAGAAGGAGATGAGGGTTCTTCTTAGTCACACATTAGAACAAGTTTCGGAGCCCAGCTTTACCTTGAAGCAAAGTTTTCTATATATGAGTCAACCAACTGAGAACTTTTAATCCAAGCCAAGAACATTCCCGTGGTTCTACCGAGTTACCCAATCAAAATGTAAAACAAATTGGTTCAGAAGTTCAAATAATCTGAGTTTGAAATATCAAAAGTTTAAACCATCAGGTTGAAAAGATATAGAGATTTTAAAATTTGAAATTGTCGCAAAGATTCAATTCCTTTCCGTATAAACAGATAAAATGTTCTAAAGATTTGAATTCTGTTTTAGAGAGAAGTTGTTGGCCAAGCTAAAGCTTGAGCCTGACCCAGGATATGTTCCAGGAATAGAAAACGATTTAAAAACATGGAATCTACTCAAAAAGTAAGTAAAAATTAGTTTGTATTGTCTACAGTGGTCATTGGAATAAAGTAAAAAAAAAGACAACCCTCCAGGCCAAAATTGTCGATTAAAATATATTTTAAGAATGCTCACTTTTTCTTGTTATAATTTCTCCCTCGTTTTTGACCACTTTTCTCAAAATTTTCTGTCTCCAACACAAATATCACAACTATAATGTCATTTTTGCCATTATATTTTTCGTGGCAATACGACAACATCTTCAGATGGCTTATTATTTGTAAATTCTCAACTATTATAAGGAACGATTATTTTCATAGTTGGGTAATTAAAAAAATCTATAAAAGTATACCATTATGTATTACATTGCAGTATATAAATCGTTACACGTAAACATTCAGTGTACTGTATGTCAAAGTTGTTAAGGCCTAAATCGTTCAAAAGAAAAAATTTTAAAATTATTGTGAACAAATCTCTTTTCTTTGCATAGGAAATCCCATAATATCTGAATATTTGACTTTAATATCTCCAAAAATAAAACTTTAAAAAGTGTCTCTAAAAGTTCCTGCAGTCCTACCATGGTTTAATATCAATAAAAAATATGCACGTGTACCGCAGTGCAGACCGCCATGCACAAATATAAAAAGAAATAAAATAATTGCGTGCTCAACAAAGAGAAAGTATGCATTATTTTCTGCGTGCATGAATGATAAAATTTTGCAAAACACCGCCGATGCAGAAATTATATTTTCCCTCGTTGCAAGATAAAAACCTGTATTTTTGCAAACCTAAAGGTCATTCACACCATACTTAACTTTATATAAAACTAGAAAATTAGGTACCCAAAACCCGACTTTTAAAGTATTCGATGCTATTTAAGTCATGTTTGAGATATGTTGAGGCTAAATTTACTTAGAGATGAACTTAATTTACGTTGAATTAAGACTGTCACAGACGGATTAACACTTGAAACTTTTCTTCAGATCGAAGCTTCTGATCGATCAGAGTAAAAATAGCTTTGGAATTCGTAAGAACACTTAGTTTTAACTGAGAAGAACGCAGTGAACAACAAAAAGGTTAAGAAGTTTAAATTCGTGTTTTTTAAATGTTTTACAGTTTGTATGATATAAAAAAGTATAGTGTAAGACATCAAATCAAGATCAGTTTTGAAACTTCTTTAAGTTTTGTCAGTTTGTTGAAATTTACCTGGATAGTGAATAAGCCTTGTCAAAAATAAAATAATCTTTTGAAACATTTTCCCTGAGAAGGGGATTATAATCAAGGCAAAAAGCCCTTTCTAAACCTATATAATTATGTTTTAAGGTCGTCTTTTCATCAGTTCTTCTTGGAGAAAACTCACGAACTTCTTTGGTGCAAGGTAAATCAATCAGCAGATGCATTAAAAATTATTTTCTTTCTTGAAAAATTAAAACTTCAAGTTGTTATTTCTGGTGTAATAAAGGTATAAATATATATATATATATATATATATATTCAGGGAAAGGAATATTTATGTTGCATATAGCCGGCCAAACTGCAGGACCGATTGGGCAGAAATTTGCTGTGGACACTCATGGGTGGCTGGGGGTGTTGAAGGATAAAAAAACGATTTTTAAAAAAAAAAATGTTTTCAACTTTTTTTCCATGGGCAACGCCGGGCCATTCAGCTAGCATTCTAAATAATAAAACAAGACATTCGAATTTATGTTCCCTCTGGCCGACCAAACGGCTGGACCGAATAGGCTGAATTTTTTTGTGGACAATCATGGATAGCCTGCCCCTGGGGGTGACATAGGCTAAAAAGATAAGATTTTTTCAATTTTTTTATTTTTTTTTTCATGGGCAACGCCGCGGCCGGGTCATGGGTACCCTGAAGGTATCATTGGCTTATAAATTATATTTTTTTTCTTTCTAAAATCAAAGAAAAAAATCCTGAAAATTTGAAATTTTATTTATAAATATTAAATTGTTTTCCACGGGCAACGCCGGGCACTTCAGCTAGTATATTATAAATAGATTGAATATATCATTATATTATTATCATTATTATAAATATATTCAAATATATTTTAAGGTTCCTAAAGCTGCAAGTACATCCTGGCTTTATGCTTTCCTCAAGATGGCGAATGTTTTAGAAGACGAAATTCCAGAGGTAATAAAGTACACAATACACAATAAAGAGTATAACACAGTACACATTATAACACAGTACACAGCACACGTTACACAGGACACAGTACACAGGACACAGTACACAGGACACAGGACACAGTACACAGGACACATTACACAGTACACAGTACACAGTACAAAGTACATATTAAACACATTGCACAGTATACATTACATTACAAAATGTGTAATAATGTACCCACATTTTTTTTCTCCTGTGATTCTGTTGGTTAAAAATCTACGAGTAATCTTTAGAGTTTTGGAAATTTCGGTGCAAGAATATCCCAATTTTTTCCTTTTATTTCTAAATCCCAAAAAAATTTAAATCCAAACATAGTTTTATGATTTATATTTCAGGATAATGGAATGGGACTTCATGCTCTACTGCGTGAGAAATATCCTCTGCTTGCTAAAAATTTGTTTAAGAAATATATACCATCAGCTCTTAAGGTATTTTATTTCCGCCATTTAAATTCAAATTATGAAAATGATAAACCACTGATTTTTTTTGCCAAAAATAGACAAGTCTTATTATTTTCTATAATATCCTAGAAAATCTTCCTGTACCTGTACCTGTACCTGTACCTGTACCTGTACCTGTACCTGTACCTGTACCTGTACCTGTACCTGTACCTGTACCTGTACCTGTACCTGTACCTGTACCTGTACCTGTACCTGTACCTGTACCTGTACCTGTACCTGTACCTGTACCTTTACCTGTACCTGTACCTGTTCAGTTTCTTGTTGTCCGACATCCGTTTGAAAGATTGATGTCAGCGTACATGGATAAACTCAATAATTACAACAGAGACGTAAAGTACAGGTAAAAAGAATTTACCAAAACATTCATGTTTTTTTCTAGAGATATTTCAAAAGTGATGCTAAATGTTTAAACCGTCACTTTTTATCCCAACATTTTTAAATGGTTCTTTTAACAACAGCAAAAAAGCGAGCAACATATCTAAATAAATTTTTTGAAAGCACAAAATATTTAATTTTTTCATTATGCTAGAGTACATAAATAACAATGTAATAGGGAAAAATTAATTATAGAGAATATAATTTTGACACATAATACACATCTTAGATTTTTGCACAGATTTTAAAAGTATGTATTAAATTTAAATTTTCAAAAAAAAAGAACCAAATGAATTGATGCCCAATCTCTATATTCTTAATTTTTCTATGAAGGAATTGAATCTTATGTCACAAACTCCAATTCTCATATATATATATCTTTGCAACCTGTAATATTTCAAAATATATAACATTTACAAAATTGGGTTGAAAAGATATAGGGGTTAGAAAATTAGAGTTTGTGACAAAAACTCAGTTCCTTTTTGTATTTAGAGGAGGGTATTACCATGCAATGTACGGTGGTGAGATAGTGGATAAGTATAGAGAAAAGTACAGCCAGAGATTTCCACACCATCCAATGTTTAAGAGAAAAGAACCAAGCTTTGTAGAGTTTGTACATTTTCTAATAGGTAAAATTATATAAAGGAATTGATTTTTTTCTACAAACATAAATTTTCTAATCCTTTCCAACCTGATGGTGCAAACCTTCGATATTTGATATATTTATGACATCAGATTGCAGGATAGATAGATTATAAAATCAATTTCTCAATTCCTTTACTTCGATTCAAAGAAATAAAATCAAAATCGAATTGATGTAGTCTATCTACATAATTCACAACTTAAAACTTATTTTGTAGGCAAACTTTAAACTTCTCCATTGCAATGCACTGCTAACATTTTATTTTTTATATGTCACAAGAAAATAGAAATGTGCTTTTATTTTCAAAGCATCAAAAATTTGTTAAATGCCATCGTAAAAATCTTTCAACTATTTCTACTGCATGCATGCAAAGATTTTTTAAATTTGATAATAATATCATAAGATTCTACCAACGTTTTATGAGATTATATCAAAATTTTATGAGAATCTTGATCTTTAAATTTCTTTAATTTCAATCAAAATTTTCCTGCAGGTCTAATTGTCTTTTTTTCTTTTAAAATCCATTCGACTTTTAACAATTTTGAAAGAAAAAACAAAACTTATATTTTTTTAATATTTCTAGAGAATCCTGTAGAAAAGTTTGATGAGCATTGGAAGCCAATATTCCTCCTCTGCCCCCCTTGTCATTTCAACTTCGATATCATCGTCAAGATGGAGACATTTTCCAGGTATTCTTATCAAGATGGAGACATTTTCCAGGTATTTTAATCAAGATGGAACCTTTTTCCAGGTATTTTAATCAAGATGGAAACCTTTTCCAGGTATTATCATCAAGATGGAAACCTTTTCCAGGTATTTTAATCAAGATGGAGACCTTTTCCAGGTATTATCATCAAGATGGAAACCTTTTCCAGGTATTATCATCAAGATGGAACCTTTTTCCAAGTATTTTAATCAAGATTGAACCTTTTTCTAGGTATTTTAATCAAGATGGAAACCTTTTCCAGGTATTATCATCAATATGGAACCACTTATAGTTATCTTTGCTCCTTGAGAGCGTATACCTGTGATATTTCAATCTCAGAAGTTGGAAATATCACCAATCCAATTGCAAAGAAGGGATTAACTGATTTGATTTTGAGTTGATTGTTAAGTATTTTTTGGCAATTTCTTAGATCTTGGATATTTGGCAGTTGGTTTGATTTGCATCAGTTTAGAAAATCAATTTCAATTCAAATTCCAGAAGTAAATTTTTTAAAGTTTAGCTTATTTAGTCTTAATATATAATTTAGGGGGCAAAATATGCTTTCAATGTTTTAAAACCAAAATTGTTGATTTTATGCATCATTATTGCATTTTTTAGGCTAATAATTGTTCTTCCAGGGCCGGGATACATGCAATTAATGCATGGTTAACTAGCTCATTAGCCTGGGTTTATGTTTTAAGTTAAAAATAAGTAAATCTGTGCAAATTTAACGAGAAAATTGGTCTTAAATAAAGCTGTTATCGAGAATTTTATCCTTTCAGATTAAATCTAAAAAACCGAATTACACTCATATCCATTTATGACCAGTTTTCTGTTTCTATGTTATCAGTTAGGCCTTGAGTTTGACCTGAAGATTGTTTTCATTACACAGGAACGTATGGAGTACCGTACCGAAATAATTACACACAGTATATAGTTTTGTTGAACAAAACCAGATTAGAAATAAACGATGATGACCAGTTTTTCAGTAAATATATGTCGACATTTCTTGATTTTTTTATCAGTATAGGTTGGGGAGACACTGGTCAATACAGTATACGGCAACACTAGAGAGATTATTGTGATTAGTGATCAGTCACATTATACTATAATATCCAATTTATCCTTTATCAAATCAATATTATCTCAAATGTTATTGATTTAAAAATATTATTTTAGGGATACAGACTTCTTGTTGAAAATGAAGAATTTGGAAGGAAATGTTTCTCTTAAACGAAAACATTCAACTTTATCTAAGGTTCGTATGAAAATGCACCAATAAATGGGGGGGGGG